AGGACGGAGAAGGAACTGGTTCTTCCAATAGAAAGCTGTCTGTAGTAACTGAGCGCTCAGTAAAGGATTTCAGAGGATTTTTTGGGAGAGAACGCCAATTCACAAATCGTTTCCGTTATTCAAGAATATTATACACAAAAAGAGAAGCGCACCCATAGAGGAACTAGAGGAAGTGAAATGCATATGAGTAAAGGCATCTTTAATTTATCTTCATATACTCTGAATTCAGGAGAACTTTCTTTATTAAATAAAGGGTTAAAATTTGCACCTGATATGAGATCAGACTTGTTCGAGCTTTCTAAAGATCTAAAATTATTTTGTGAGGAAATTTACAGTCACTAGATCACATAATATCAAAGATACTATTGGCACTGATAAGTGCCCAAAGATTTTTTGTAACCCATAAGATAAAATTATTTTTTATGGTCTCATTTCTCTTTTGGAGAAACAGGAAACATCCTAACCCGAATTAGATGCCCAATTTGTAGTTGAGGCTAATATCCACTCTGGGTTAAAACCTCCATCGACCTTCTATCCACAAACCGACAAAGGATACCATATACAAATGTTTTATGATTTGGTTATGAGGGACTTAAAAATTCTCTGTACAAATTATGATAAGAAATACAAATTCAATAATAATTTGATTCAGAAAGACGTGTCAACAATTAAGAGCTTGAAGATGAATAATGAGCTAATTATTAAAGGGGCCGATAAGGGAGGAGGAATAGTAATCTTGAATAGGCAAGATTACTTAAGGGAGGCTAATAATATACTAGGAAATACTGAATGTTATAAAATCCTCGATACGGATCCCACCAGAAAATTCGAAAAAGATCTGAGAGAATTAATTGATTTAAACCATAACACTAGCTCCTTGGATAAAAAAGAAAGAAGTTATTTTCTGTCGGCACCAGGCGATATCCCTATTTTACCTCCCCAAGGTGCACAAATCCCTTACAAACCCTCCTGGACGCCCCATCATTTCATGTATATGTTCCCTCACCTCTCCTGTCACCATCTACAATGGTATGTTCCTCACTTGCCCTCATATATCAGATATACTGTGCATGTTTTAACTTTGGTCAAAGATATGAAATGGCTGAATCAATACTGTTGGATAACAATTGATGTAACTTCTCTCTACACCAACATTGGCCATTCACTTGGTCTAAAGGCCCTATTGGATGGAGCGACTTGCCCTATACTCCAGATTTATAGATGACATCCTTATCATATGGAGGGAAAAATGGGAAGAAATTGAAAACTTTATTGCACATTTGAACCACAATGATTAGGGTCTTTCCTTCACATACAGCAAACACATATCAAAAAATAAATTTTTTTAGATCTGACCTTGACAGGTTATAAGGGGAAGATCTGCACTAAAACATACCAAAATAAAGTGGATGTAAATGGTTTTCTTCATGCAAACAGTGGATACCATCCCAGTTGGATTAATGGCATACCCACAGGACAGTTCCCCAGAATCTGGCGAAACTGTTCCTCATTGGGTGACTATGAAAAAGAGTTCCTTCTGCTCTGTCAAAGGTTTTTAGATAAAGCATATCCAGAGGGGCTCGTTCGAAAGGCATATCTGAAAGCTGGTAATGCCAATAGAGCAAGTCTTGTTGACTTGATCCACAAGAAAAACAAAAATGTAAATAATAGAAACAAACAAGAGACACCACTTATAGAGAGTGTTCATCATACCAGTGAACATGAGGTTATTTTGAATGTATTACAAAAAACAGATATGAAATATAAAAAGAAGGCCAAATATAACATAAGCACTAAGGAAGTTGGTTCCAGCCAAACACCTATTTTTTCTACTACATTTAAGAGAGGATATGATGAGATTATAAACATCCTCTATAAGTACTGGCCCATTTTAAAGAAAGATCCGTGGCTTAATTTTAGTCTCTCAGAAACTCCAAGGGTCACATTTAGGAAGGCACCTAACCTTAAAAATATATTGGCACCCTCTAAATTTCAATCAGATAAAAACCACACCTTAAAGTATGAGTGCAGAAATGGTAATTTCCAATGTGGTCATACTAGATGCCTCACTTGTGGTTTTATTTGTCATCCACATTCTAAACTTATAAGAGCGAGGATGTTTTTACTGTTCCCTGTAGAATCAACTGTAATTCTGTGTTTGTTATCTATTTACTTATATGTGCATGTGGGATGCAGTAGGTGGGTCAAACCACTAGATCCCTAAAATGTAGGTTTAGGGAACATAGACTGGCCATTATTCACAAAGCCAAACGATTATTATTATTATTATGTTATTTATATAGTGCCATCAAATTCCGCAGCGCTTTACAATGGGTGGACGAACAGACATGTAGTTGTAACCAGACAAGTTGGACACACAGGTAATGAAAAAATTAAATAAGGTAGGCACACTCAATATAAAATGTACGCAAGCTCCCAAGTGGAGCTCTATGAAGATACGATATGGGGTGCTCACTCACATAAGGCTTTATCCCCAAAAGCCCAAGTACATGTAAATAACAATAGAGTAAGGAGCACAACCATCAATAATAATAAAACAATCTTTATTAAGTGGGTATACTCTATAAGAATATCCCATAACATAAGGATCCAAAATATAGGATCATATCACGCTATACAGCAATGATCAGAAAGATTCTGAATATATATGTATAAACGCCAAAAGCGTCTTATATGAATAACAGAGTCTCAATATACAGAAATAGAGAAATAAAATACCAGTCTAATCCAACCCCACAAACACAGATATAAATATACAAAAATATATAGCAATAAGCATACCAGACCTTGTGAGAAGCAGAGACAGAGTCAGTCACCAAAACACCCCAACGTTTCGTCAAAAATGCCTTTATCAAGGGAGCATGTTGAGAGAAACTAAATCATGTTTTTATATACCCAAAATAAACACAAACCTAGAAAACACCTGAAAAAAATGGGTGGCCACCCATGATGACTGGGATCCTCCCAACCATGATACACCTGTTCATGGTTGTCAAGGGAACCAGAAAACCGTGATCTATATACATATATACATATCAACATTCAGATTCACAAGTAGAATACATAAACAAAAAATACTTGATGTAAAGATACAGAAATCACATAAAATATGCAGGCAAGATATTAAGTATACATGTAGTGGACATATTAGTAGAAACATATAATATAAACAAGAATATGAATATTACATCAGTATTAATATAAAGATATAGGGATCAATGGTCCCAAGTGGTATGGCAGTTTGAAAAGATAAACACATAAAACCTGGTGCAGAGATTTGATCCACAAGCTTAAACTGATGAAAATATAGACCGGAGGCGTGAGCAGCATCAAGCACTTCAAAATCGTCGAACCCGGAAGTAAGCTAAATCTGGTGGAACGCACATGCATTCCAAAATAGAAATATGTCTGTTTGCGTTCCACTGCTAAAAAAAATGAAGACTAGTCACTCATGAACGAATATAGCTCCAAAAAGGAGCAAGGACACTGCCTATAAATATATTTATCTTGGCTCCAAATCGGAAAATAAAATAAAATATATATATATATATCAAATAAATGATAAAAAAATGATGAATTAATATTGAAATAGAGGGGGGGAGAGAAGAAGAAGAAAAAAATATTAATAAACATATGTAAAAAATGTCCACATAAAGATGAAGTCAAGGATGCATGCTAATCAAGTCAAAGCATCTCAAGCCATGCAAAACAATTGCAGGTATAAAGTACCATCATGTTAAAGTGACAGAGGGTCATCAATATACAAAAAATCTAAACAAATCCAAACCAAACAAACAATCCATACCCTGCACAGACAATAGAGAAATAACTGTCAGATACAATGCAACAAGTATAATGGTTAAGTAGACATAAGTCTTCCATCATGTAGATCCATTAAAGAGACAAAATTCAGGTGTATATTTCTGAGAGGAGTCCAATCATCGGAGGGCCATCCAGCAGTGAACCACCCAAGAAGGGAAACAAAACTGAAAAAAATGAAAAATAAAATCAATGTCAAGAATAACAGATACAGACATTCAAAGGGAAAGGTAATAATAGAAGGAACAACAAAAAGCGGTCCCAATAAGACAAAAGAAAGAAGAAAAACGATGGACTTAGTCCAGAAAAGTAAGCAACTTAGCCAATTGCATATGACCATATTACCTGAAGGGATTAAAATCACAGTCTTCATTCAACCCATGCGGGAATAATGTATCCAATCGATAAATCCACCGTAGTTCCGCGTGTTTGAGTGAATCTGCAAGGGAATAACTAAAGTGAGGAGTCTTGATACGTTCTATAGCCTGAAAACGTAGCTGTGCCACAGAATGACCAGAGTCAATTAAATGTTTGGCAAAAGAAATATGCCGTTTCTTAGTGCGAATGGTACTTTTATGTTCGCCGATACATACAGTTAGAGATTTAGACGTTTGGCCGATGTATCCCAGACCACAAGGACATTTGATGAAATAAATGACCTGGTCTGTTTGGCAATTAAAAAATTTCTTGATGGCAAATGCTTTCCCTGTTCTGGGATGTGTAAATTCTGAACCCGTAATCACATTATTGCAGTTGGCACAATGACCACATCGGTGCATACCCTTAATAGATGCCAGCCACGTAGTGGATGGTTTAGAGGATATTCTGGCTCTGGAAGGCGATACCAAGCTTTTAATATTCCTTGATCTCTTACAGGCCATGAGTGGTCTCTCCTTAAAGAGATCAGCAATCTCTGGGTCACTCTGTAGAACATGCCATTTCTTATTGATGACGTGTTTGACCAAACCGGATTTAGTCGAATATGTAGTGACACATGGAATACGATTGGACATGTTTCTCTTGTTCTTACCCTTACTCATCAGTAATTATGTCCTCTCCCGATTTTTTACTTTGGCCAAAACTTCCTGTAAGGAGGTATCGTTATAACCCCGGGATCCAAAATCTTCCAGCATCTTCCTAGCCTGAGTATCGAAGTTAGCTTACTGAGATACGATCCGTCGTACACGTAACAATTGGCTAAAAGGAAGGCTTCGAATCATACTGGCTGCATGAAAGGAGTTAGCCTGCAGAAATGCAACTTTGTGAGTTGGTTTTCGAAAAAGGTCAAAGCACAATCCATTATCAATTTTATTTACCTGAACATCCAAAAAATGAATGCTACTGGCATCGTGTTCCAAAGTAAACTTGATGCTTGGTACAATTCGATTCAAATCCGCTTTAAAATATAGAAGATTAGCCTCTGAACCATTCCAAAGAAAGAACACATCGTCAATATAACGAAACCAAACTGCCACAGATTTGAATAAGGGATGTGGATAGACGAATTCTTCCTCAAACTTGGCCATGTACAAGTTGGCGTAAGAGTCATTCCCAAAGGTAAAATAATTGCATGATAGCACCAATTCCAGCAGCTGTAAAACAAAATCACTCAATTTAGAATCCAGCTCAAGTCTGCCCAAAGCCTGTGCAGTAGCTTCCATACCTCCCCTGTGGGGGGTGGACGTGTACAAACTGCACAGGTCCATCGTACACAGGAAAGAATCTCTGCAGGAAGAACCCAAGTTATCCAATTTTCCCAAAAATCCCTGGTATCACACAGAACACACAGGAACAGAGGGGTTGAGGGCCCTGCTCAATGAGCCTACATGCTAGAGGGAGTGGGGTAAAATGACACAAAAAGGTAAGGATAGTATTAGACTAGTGACAGTTGCAGAAGAGGAATCAGTCAGGAGCTATTAACAGTTTAATTGATATGCTTTTATGAAGAAGTGGGTTTTTAACGATTTTTTTGAAGGAGTGGAGACTGGGTGAGCATCTAACAGAGGAGGGAAGCAAGTTCCACAGGAAAGGTGCAGCCCTCGAGAAATCTTGAAGGCGAGCATCAGAGGTGGGAATACAGACAGAAGATAGACATACGTTTTCAGCAGATCGTAAGGGCCTAGACGGGACATACTTGTGTATAAGGGAGGATTGATAGGTGGGAGCAGCATTATGTAGAGATTTGAAAGCAAGAACCAGAATTTTAAATTGAGCTCTATATTTTATAGGAAGCCAATGTAGGGACTGACGATCACCAGTTGCTCTCCATTTTGAGATGTTCTTTGAGAGCGATCCTTCGTCTATTGCAGTAATGGGAATTGATGTAATTCCAGTTAAGGGAGACATAGCCAAAAGGAAGAGTGACTTAACAAGGGCCGAATCCAGATTGATATTTAAACGTAATACCCTGGCCCCTAACGGTCTCAACGAAGAACTAGAACAGTACTAACAGTCATCACTATTATTCTTGTAATGGCCTTCATGGTTTCCCCTTTTTTCCCTTATACCCTTTGAGACATAGGAGTCTTCTATATACATATTTTTTGGAATTGGTAATTTTTGGTTTGTTGTGGTAATAATTGTATTCTTGAAACTTTTTTACTGCAGTTTTTTACTGCAGTCTCAATATCTAATGCTGTATTCATGCAGCAGATTGCTGGTGTTACAATAACATAATTACATATCCAGGAGGTGTTTTCTTTTTATTGTTTTTCTTTTTATTTATTTTCTTTTAATTATTTATTATTTATTTTTTCCCTTTTTTAGTCCATTTCAGATTGGGACCCCCCATATGAACAAACCTATCACTGATGGGACTATATCTATTTTAGATGTATCCCATACAGTAATACTGTTCATACGCTCATCTATTTTAGTACTAGTATTACACAAAAGGATATTAATCCTAACTATTGCTTCCTCTTTATAAGAGTTAGTTTCATTTCCTTATATAGCTTTTACTCGGCTTTCATTGTTGTGTTTTCAATCTTATATACTTATCAATTAATTTGTGTATATGTTTGTCATTTAAGATGGTTCTCTATATATGGAACCATTCTGGGTTTTATGTCCATCTCTCCTCAGATGGTCCCCGCATAGGATATTTAAGACAGCTGAGACATTGTGATTATTGTCCTGAGAAAGTTCTGTGAGAGGAATGACACGCACAGACGACGTCACAGACGCACCAGCTGCTTCTTGTTCCTCATCATACACAAAGAGACTGTGCCACCGTTCACCGGGGTCTTTTTTGAAGATTCCGACCGCAGTGTTTATTGAACTGTGATCCAGCGAGCAAGTACCTTGTTAATGTTCCAGTGATTCTCCATGGCTGTCAGCACTCTGGTGATTCTTCACGGCTGAGCGCTCAGTTACTACAGACAGCTTTCTATCGGAAGAACTCACCAGTTCCTTCTCCGTCCTCTTTTTTACATGGCAGGTTTTTTTTCACCTCAGGTGGGGGCCCACACCGATGTCAAGGTACTCTCTATATCTTATACAGTGTCTCTATACTAGAAACAGAGAAACATAGAATGTGACGGCATATAAGAACCATTCGGCCCATCTAGTTTGCCCAATTTTCTAAATACTTTCATTAGTCCCTGGCCTTATCTTATAGTTAGGATAGCCTTATGCCTATCCCATGCATGCTTAAACTCCTTTACTGTGTTAACCTCTACCACTTCAGCTGGAAGGCTATATCATGCATCCACTACCCTCTCAGTAAAGTAAAACTTCCTGATATTATTTTTAAACCTTTGGCCTTTTAATTTAAGACTATGTCCTCTTGTTGTGGTAGTTTTTCTTCTTTTAAATATGGTCTCCTCCTTTACTGTGTTGATTCCCTTTATGTATTTAAATGTTTCTATCATATCCCCCCTGTCTCGTCTTTCCTCCAAGCTATACATGCTAAGATCCTTTAACCTTTCCTGGTAAGTTTTATCCCGCAATCCATGAACCAGTTTAGTAACCCTTCTCTGAATTCTCTCTAAAGTATCAATATCCTTCTGAAGATACGGTCTCCAATACTGCGTACAATACTCCAAGTGAGGTCTCACCAGTGTTCTGTACAATGGCATGAGCCAACCAAACATTCTGCTAGCATTTCCTGATGCTCTATTACATTGTCTGCCTACCTTTAAGTCATCAGAAATAATCACCCCTAAATCCCTTTCCTCAGATGTTGAGGTTAGGACTCTATCAAATATTCTGTACTTGCCCTTGGGATTTTATGTCCAAGATGCATTATCCACATTAAATGTCAGTTGCCACAACTCTGACCATTTTTCTAGTTTACCTAAATCATTTGCCATTTGGCTTATCCCTCCTGGAACATCAACCCTGTTACATATCTTAGTATCATCAGCAAAAAGACATACCTTACCATCAAGTCCTTCTGCAATATCACTAATAAAAATATTAAAGAGGGGGGCGTGTCCTAACCGCACATGTGAGCGGACGTGCAAAACCGGAGCTCTCCCGGACTGCAGCTCTAAAGCGGCTTAAACAGTGGATAAAATCTGCAGACCTTACCGAAAACCTGCACAACCGAAGGGTAAACACCCCTGCCCCCCATGGCTACAAAAAAATTTAAGCAAAAAACGCTAAACTCTAATCTCGAGAGGCATCAAACCTCAGAGCCTACAAACCAAAATGGCGCCGGCAGACGCGTTCACCTGCATGCAGCTCTGAGGCAAGAGACAGCAACCAAGACCAGCACAGCCCAGCAACCAATTCATCCATCAGGCTGATAATGCAGGAGCTGCAAACCTCATTTAAAGCAGACCTCCTTCAAATGACTGCAGATGTTAAAGCAGACATCCACAGCATGGGGGAACGCACTACCCGTCTGGAAGACAGGACAGAAGAACTAGTGGAGGCTCACAACTCAATGGCAGAGGCCTACACATCCCTGGAAAGTAAAATAAAATTACTAGAAGAAGAAGTGGCTGATCAAGAAGGCAGGAGTAGGAGGAACAACGTCTGCACAAGGGGTATACCAGAAACCATAACACAGCAAGACCTACCCAGGTATGTCAAGGACTTATTCAAGGCCCTGATCCCCTCCCTGTCTGAATTTGACTTGATCCTAGACAGGACGCATCGGCTCCCCAAGCTGAAACAACTTCCCTCTGACAGCGCGAGGGACACCATCACTAGAGTCCACCACTTCACAGTTAAAGATAGAATTATACAACAGAAAATGTGGATGTATACAACAAAACAGTGGGACTAAGTGTGGTAGCTAAAATGCCACAAACCACCTGAGTGGAAACCCCTCACACCACTCAAAGCAACACAAATAAATACGTACAATAATAGGTATGTCACACTTCTGAATATGTCTGAAAAAGATAAACACAAAACACAAAATAGTGTAATAAAGTCTATGTAAGTAAATAGTAGAGAATTTGAGTGAAGTACTCACAAGCCTAGAGCCAAATATATGTGGCTCTCACAGATGTTGCCTTGGGACTATTTCAAGGATGTCCCCCTCCTATTACCACGTGGCTGGATAGCTGTTCCCACTTGACTTGAAGGGGTTCCAAAGTATATAGCTGTTCCCACTTGACTTGACAGGGTTCCAAAGAAGATCCAATATGGGATAGTTAAACAAAATATTTATTCACAAACATTATTAATAATATAGTAATTAAAACAAACAGTAATAAAATACCATAAAAATTGAATAAAATAAATTAACAAAAATCTATAGCTATAGTGCTATAGAAATAAGTCCTGCCAATTGGCTTGTGCAGAGTCCGAGACGTGTTTCGCCCCTACCAGGTGCTTTTTCAATCGGTATATTCTCCTTCTTGTGATCCGGCGTTTTTATGCGTTGGTTTGCCGGTTTACTTCCGGGTTCTGGCTAGTCCTGATTTGGAACGCATTGTGCGTTCCAAATTGCTTCCGGGTTCCAGCGGTCTTCTATTTGGAATGCAGCGTGCGTTCCATTTAATCTTGACAGCAAAATCCATCCACCAAATACTTCCGGGTTCCGGTGTTCTTCTATTTGGAGCGCAACTTGCATTCCACTTCATCCTAGTGTCAAAGTCCATCATGACATCATTGGAACGCACACTAAAATGGTTGTGCGTTCCATTATAAACCTGGCTAAGATCTAAGAAAACTCATCATGGCTAATGTATATAAATATACCATTATTTCCAAAACACATATTTCATCATATACACATGAATATTCTTATTAAATTAACAAATGACATATATATATATATATATATATATATGAACGTTAGAAGGTGATTATAATTTTGTATTGTGGTTATTTTTATATATGTCATATATTTGATCTATTAAGGGGGTATTTTTTTTTTTGTCTAGTAAAGCCTCTCATAGTATAATCCTATATTCCAGATCTCATAATATAATCTTATATTCCAGTTTATTGCAGAATCACCTTACTAGCGTTCATTTAAAGGGATAGTACCCCCAACCCTTATAGTGTGAAAGAAAAAGACTTAGACTTCACATATAATAAGAAAACATACAACTTGTAAAACCTAAAAATTTAAATAAATGGCAGACTTCAAAATCCGAATTTAACCCATGAGGTATAAGGGTATTAAAGTTATATATAAATTTCATTAATTCTATTCCTATTTTCTTATTAAAATCGCCTCTTCTCCAATCTTTTTTGACAATTTTTAACGGACAAAAAAATAAATTTTCAGGGTTTTGACTAT